TATCTCCTCAATTTTTCCTTGACTTTGGATCTGTTGATCCTGATTATTGAAATTGAACGGAGCATTATATTGCTGATAAGTATGCCTCGACTGCTTGTAATTTCCACACACTAGTGTATAATCGTCATTCGCTCTGGAATTAGGATATTCACTAGCATAATGATCAATCTATCTGCAATGGAAACAACGAAGTGGTCTTCTTGTACTCCCATCAGGCATATTGGGTGTCTCCATTGATATATACCTACTAAGCTTGTTCCATGTAGGGTTAGAAAATGATCTTAGTTGCCTCGTTGGTACGGAGGATACTTGGTTTGATGACGTCAGTGGAGCATATTGCTGATGTTACGTACGGTGGTATAGCTTACAATGGGATGACATTAACTGGCCCGTGAATATTGGCACTGGAATTGGCCACTATTTCTAACATCCAAGATGACTAAATATTAATAAAATCTTTTTCATTTACATTTTCACCATATAGTCGTGTTACAACATGACACCGCTACTTGGAATTCTATCACAAAATCTAATCTATTGAGATTTAGTAATCTTATAAATTTTAAGCTATAGAATAGAAGGTGAGAGGCCATACCTAATGTCATATATCTTTATGAAATAGTCTACTAGTTGTGCTTCTTCGTCAACCATTAATACATTCCTTATACCATGAGCTTAGCTTTTCTTATCCCTATAGTATCAAACTTACAAATTGGAGGACAAGATGTTATTCTTCTCTCCCGTAACTTTCATTGAGATTTTTATGTCAATGTCATTAAGAGCATGTTGAAGGTCTTCATTGCTTTAATTATCATTCTTGTATATCCTTCTCCAACCAATTCTTAATAGTTGTCTTGTTCTACTCAATCAAAGTTATCTTTGCTCTATTCTATTCTAGTCAAATTGTAAAAAAAGAAGGTGGTCTTCAATAGAGGGAAATCTCAAGGAAATTAGTGGTCAATGATAAAGAAGGAGGGAGGAAAAAATGTAAGAGGTTGCAAAAAGTCCATACTCTTTATTTGTGACTAATTATGGAATTCTTCAAGTGGCAACTTATTCAATCAAGTAGCTACAAGATTTGTTGTCTTAAAGCATGTACATGTAGTTGAGAAGTAAGTAGTGACTTTAGAATATAATCCACATTATTCAAAAAATTTCTTCTGATATATATTTGCCAATTCACATCCTATACCTTCTTGAATTTAATATAATCTATTTAAGCATGCAATTGGTGTTGATAATTGTCGAAGCTATTTTCAAATAATTTATCATTAGAACAATAGTTGCCATCTTTCTTACTAACTTGAATGTTGAAGAATCTTTTGTAGCTAATAAGATCCATGACATGCTCTATATTAAAACTTATACACAATCCACTAAATCAAGGCCATCTTTCATATTTTGAGATTTTGATGAAACCTTGCAAGCATAAAAATTCTATCTACATACTTTGATCAAGTTTAATGTACTTGCATGAATTATTATGAATTCATGATAATACAATTAATTTACATTGGTGCAACTTAGGTACATATAATTTGCTTCAATTAATTTATCAGATAGCTGATTCAAACATTGTACCTCCAACTATATATTTTCTTCATCAAATCTTCATGAAAATTCCATCTCCATATTACATTCAACTTCTTTTTTATACCTTAGTATATTCACGATAACTTACACAAGCATATTAACAAGCAACATATAAGAATATTTATAAAAATACTAGGTCTCACTTTTATACTGATTAAATGAGCATTTGGTTGCTCAATAATTTTGTACCATCATATTGATCAATTCCAAAGTATGCACCAAACCACTTAATTGCCTACACGCTTATTGCCAAATTTAAAACTACATGCATTTAGACTTAAGAGTATGTACAGATGCTACCTTGAAACCATTCATGGTTACTTTATGAACCACAAATTTTTATTTTTATTTTTATCCATTACTAAATTAGTTAATCATATATATTCTTTTTTAATTTTATATTTATAGTTTGTAGTCAATTGTACCTAATTGCATCAAAGGCCATAAGGGATTTATATAAAAATATCCAAAAAAAAAAACCATTGAATCTACAAAAAATGAAGCTGCCGATTGCTTGAGATCATATTTACAAATATTGTCTTCTCAATATTTCCACCTGCCATGCACATGACTCAATACCACACAATCCCTTCCATGATTTCTGTGCAATAGTGTGACATTCTCTGATTATGAAACTTAATTGTGCAATTTCTTCCTACTACTTGTTATTGATTGAGGACTGTGACACAGTTTAAGGTATTTTGTTGTTACTTTAGTAGTATCATACTAACCTCTTTTAATTACATTATATTTTATAGTATACTATAATGGTATCTAAAGCATTTCTTATCCATTGTTGTGCATTCTCAAATGATGCAACCATACATATTCAAAGGTTGTTGTCAAAGCTTACTAAATTGGAATCATCAAATAAATGAGTAGATCCAATAGTGACTAATGAAGATCTAGAAGAGTTCTAATATTTTTTATTCCTTATACATGAATACTCTTTCTTTGACAAATTAAAGTATTATACATGATGAAACTACATGGTTGGAGAAGTGGAATAATGGTTGACAAGTCATAATGCTGCATATGATTAGATTACATGGTTGAAGAAGTGGAATAATGATTGACAAGTAATAGTGTTATATATGATCACATTACATGGTAAGGGAAGTAGAATAATGATTGACAAGTTATAGTACTATACATAATCAAACTATATGATTGAAGAAATGGAATAATTATTGACAAATTATAGTCCTATACATGATCAGAGTACATGGTTGGAGGAGTAGAATAATGATTGATAAGTTATAGTGCTACACATCATCAGACTATATAATTGGAGAAATAAAATAATGATAGCTTTATATAGAATATTAAAGAATTGACTTTATGACACATATATTTTATGATTTCCTTACTTTATCAAATTGACTTTACTATTAACTAAATATTATACTTTGCATCATATTGTTGGAGGCTTTATCATTACCTCTTAAAATTAACTTTTAAAGGACTTGAGTTGACTTTAAGTCTCACATTTGTTAAACATATTTTTTTATTTTTAATCAGCTAAAGAATTAATTTGAGGTGTCAAATTTGAAGAAAAATAAAAAAAATAAATTTTAAAATTTGTAAAATAATGCTTTTACAATACTATTTATTTTCCATCTTATACTTGAATATTAAATTCTTTTTTTGGAATGGTTGTATGACTAATTTTTAAAATCAAAAATTAAATTAAATAAATCTCAAACTAACTACTAAAATGATTGAAGTAAAAATAATTTCATTTAAATATTTTATTAGGAGTTTTAAGGTTGAAAAGCAATGTAAATATTAGATAATAAATTTTTTTAATAATAAAACTATATCAAATCTCAACCTTAAAACATAAAAATTTAAGAAGTTCTTATAATCTTTAGAAAAATTCATAACAGGAATAGGTTTTATTAATATTTTATAATGAAATTTTGAATTATACAAAAAGTAAACATAAAGTTACCTAGACTTGTTTTCCTAGCACAATATGCAATATTAAAAAACATTGCTAGTCAGCAGAGAGAATCATTCAAAACTTATAAACGTCAAACAAATTGCTTATGTATCTGACTGCAGAAATGGTTCTTAAAATAATCAAAACTATACATTCAATGTAACTTTTCAGTAAGAAGTTGTGATGAACGTAAATCTCAACATTCTGGATCATATTTGCTTGTTCCTGGGGAGTTCTCAGAAGCCACTGGAATGATGGATTTAGTCTGGTACATGCACAATTCACATCATGTACTCAAATAAACTGAGATCCGAAGTGTGGTTTAGAAACTTGAATTAGTTGCACAACATTACGGACATTTCTGCTCACCTGAGTTTTCTGATCCAGCACACTACCTGCAGTCAATGACTTCTGCACTGTCACAAAGTTTTCTACCGTGACAAGTTCGAGGAATGAGGTTAGAGTTTTCGTTCAATCGAGGAGCTGGGTAACGATAGACTAGTCGTGTGAAACCACATGAGCTTAGTGAAAAACTCCATCGGGCAGCAAAGTCATGCAGATCTTGTAGAACACTCAGTTGCTCTTTTCATGCCTTTCAGCTACTACCGTGATTGAACCGTTCCAGGGACAGGTCGGTCTAGAGTAGGAACGTTATTCTGATTCGAGACTGTGTGATCCTGTGTATGAAAAACGTGAAACATTGTTTGCGAGCAGGATGGTCCAGACACAGTCACTTCGTGCAACTGATCATGATATCAAGTCCTCTAAACCTTGAAGACCCCACTGGAAACTGGAGCCGCTTCCGTTGTTCGATAGTCGTGATAATCCAGTTTACGATGCAGATCCTCCATCTTTGATTGAGCTTCACTCATAGATGAAGAATCTACATCATAATCCAGATCAACACAACTCTGCAGGTTGTCATGGAATCTCGACTCCAACGTAGGGTGAGACATATCCAAACACACTGGTAGCACTGTACCACTCTCCGATGGTGCCCTTCCCTTCAGACGGGATCATTGCCAGGGACTGAAACACTTGACTAGACTTGGAAGCCGGCGCATGCAGTCAATGATAAGTGAAATTTGAAGCACCTTCCGAGAGTAAGATTGCTTTGCCAAGTCATTTCACATACAAGAATCGAATAAGCATCAGAAGAGGAGGGGTATGTACAGATTGGGAAGAGGAGAATGACTCAGGAACGGTCCTTGCTACCACAACGAACTCTTTACGAGCTGTTGATCACGTGCCACAGATAGACCGGTTTCCTCTGGAAAGTACGTTGTCACAAATCATGGACAACCATGCTATGCATAAATGGAACCACCAGCTCATGACGCACAAATTCGTGATCAGAATGCCAGTTTCAACAACCACCTAAAGCCCAAATTGTGCCTTCTACCTTACTAATCTGTTAATGCTGTATATGTACCCCATTTGGGTGCACTCATTCTGCATAATGTTGAGAAAAAGCGACAACGTCGAATTATTGCAGATCCTTATACATAAATTGGAAACTGACGCTTTGTCCATGAGAATAATGCTAAAATCGATAAAAACATCTGGCCTAGCTCGGCGTTGCCTCTGTACAAAAACCACTGGACATGAACTTTTGAAGTGATTAGGGGATATCGTGGTGCTCCATCAGGGAAAAGAATCGACCTTTCAGGTGCAGACGAAAAAGATGAGGTACACGATGTCAGAGTTTCCTGCCACAATGCCGGCCACCAGGAACAAGCACGGGTCCGCGGTGCCTGCTATCAGTGTACCTGTGTAGATAACCCCGGTCGGTGGGTCTCGTTTAGACTTAGGGTGTTTGATTGCTACATGTACTGATCACATTATGCATATTGCATGTGTTCGGTGTAGATCTCAATGTCCTTGGTCTGTGTGGGGTTAGTTGCTATTTCAGGAAAGCAGTGCAGTCGCTACTGAAAAGCAACAGTTCTGGACACTCAAGGCGCTATTATTGTCTAAATACCTTACGAGTCCTCCTTCACGCACGCACAGTCCAGCCTGAAATATTTCCGTCGATGCAGGGGAGACTGGGATATGCATTAAATAAGAGGACTGATCCAGTAACTACATCCCGCTCATATGCCGCTAGAATAGTGCCCGGACAGAGCGTACCTTCTTTTATCAGACCAACTGTGCCCAAATCGCATATTCCAATTTAAAACTCAAGTAAATTGGACCGAAACCATTGTTAATTATTTTCATTGTGATCAGGGGCGGTGACTGATATTGAGGGAGGCGGGCAATTCTTCTCGAATACCCCCCTGGTGGTTGTGCTCAAATGAGCGAAACAGTGCTCGGACATGCTCAGCACCCCCAAACTGAACACCATCACAGCAAGGGAATTATATGTGTTAATGCACGTGCTAAATATGGGAAATCAGTGATATGACTAGAACAGGCAGCAAATTATCTCTCCTACGTGATGAGAATGTGAAATGAACGGGTACTGTGCATGATCAGAAATGGTTCCGTTCATTCGGGCGCAGCTTCCGGGAAGAAATCTGAGATGAACCTGCACGAATCCCCAATCTCTGTCAGATTGAATGCCAAACCCAGGAAAACGTGGGACCTCAGCTACCACAAAACCAGAAGACAGCGATCCATCAGTAACTACTTGACAGATGTGCAGCGATCGAGGAACTTGACAAATCGAGAATTGCGGTCTAGAAACAGAGCGAATATTAACAGACTGTAGCTTGGCACAAGCTGGGTTTACATTTACAGGTTACCCCAAGTGATATGGGTGCACAAGATGCTGGAGAGGTCAATGAAGTATTGCTGCATACAGCTATCTAAGAGCTAAGTCTACAGAGAGACCGTATGTCTGGCAACTATATTTTATCTGGATACATACAGACGACCTCACAGAGATGCAAAGACCCTGTAGAAAGTACATAGAACGTACCTGTCTTGACAGGGACCTTTGCAGTGCGCATTAAGATATTCTTGCAAAAATTATGAACTAATATCCAAACCATGGAATGTAGAAAGAGCGTCAACAAAAAGATAGGTGGCGTAGTCCCGACTTAAGAACCCCCAAAAGTATTTGGAAAAAAATCAAAAACAGAATATTACGTCTTACAGACGATAATTATGGGACCTCAAAGTACCAGAGATGTCATTGAGTGCCAAGTAACAAGTAGTAGTTGCTATCAATACATCCGTTTCAAGTCACCTTGCAATCCTCCTGGCGCCTGAGGCAATATGTTACTAGGTCCGAAATGACCACCATTTTCAAACCATCTTTCGATAATCCCAATACCATTATGCTCGCCACCCGCAGTACTATTGTTGTTTGTGCTCTGAACTTCCGACATAAAATATTTTGGAGGTTTTTGACTTTGTTGATGTTGCCCATACATGTGATGACCAGACGATACATGTACAGAGCCAGTCCACTCAGGAGGCTGAGGTTTCATTGCGTCGTGCTCTGGCAATACCATTCCATAATATGATTGGGGACGCTGAAAAACCTGTTGTTGGGCCATTACAGGAGCTTGTGGGTGTGAAAAGAGACCACTAAAACCGAGGGGGGGGGGGGGGTTTGAATATGTTGCAGTGCTGAAAACCCATCGAACCCCATATCCAATCCGTTGCTGTTGAACATTGGAACCTGTGCTAGCGGCCGGAGTGCAGAGTGCAGAAAGCTGGTATTGACAGCATTAAGTGGTGTCCGCTGATGGTTCCGCTGCGTAAAAGATGCACCAAAGTGTTGGACTAGTGATCCTGGGTGGACTTCCTTGCTTTTGACCACTCCGTTATCATGAATCTGTTTGAAAGAAGCCCTTTCTAGATTGGGCGTTGCTCCATTAGAACCATCTATAAACAAATTATTGTGGGTTTTGATGGCCTCAGTTTTTCCCAATAATCCTGGAATAAGAGGTGTGCTGGACGCCCGTGCTTCAGAGTCTCCAGACATAACCTGGTTCAAGTATGATTCTTTTACAGAGTGACCTCCGTTCTCGTAACCACCCGCTTCCACCTCCACACTATTCGGCCACAGACTGCTCCATTCGGGCCCAGAATTTGCAATCCAATAACGAGGAACATCAATGCCATTCGACCTTAGTTTGTGATTTAAGTTCCCATTTTGCATCGAGAACGAGGTCTTTGCTTGCTCACTCCCCTGCCTTGTAGAGGCTTCATCTGGCAGTATCCTGGCTGAGGACGATTCTTCGGATGATTGCAACTCGTTCATAAACGCTTTACCAAACAACGATTCTAACGTATGTACTTCACTAGCTTTATTGTTGCTGGGCTCTGACTTCTCCCCAACAAATTCGGTACTCAGGTTTTGACTACCAAACTCCACATCTAAGGCTTTACTAGACAGCCCAGCTCCTCCACTAGGAGATCGCTTCAGAAGAAGTGAACGAAGATGTTGGGAAGCACTTTGGCATCATCAGTCGGGGTCTCTACTGCTGCAAGTAACGGGGTAGCTCTGCCGTTCAAAAGCTGAGAGTCTGTTTGAGCGGCTTCAGCCAGCAATACCTGCTCAATATCTTCACAAGTCATGAACACCGGACTGAAGCAAAAGGCTGTTTACTCGGAGCATTTGACTTTCCCATGCAATCATTCCTGAAAAAAGTAAATTCTCTTGTGTGGGGAACTTCTCCCATGCCTGCAAAACCTTTCCCAACGTCCTCTGAGGGAGGAGCGACAGGTATAGGAAGTCCTACACTGCATCCGACCTTGACGACAGGAGTAAGCCCGACAGAATTCTGAAAGTCTTTCTTCAATGAAGTTGAATAAATCGTTTGCTCACAATTTCCAAGTGAAGAGAAATTTTTCAAGCTGCTCGATTGACTAATTAAGAATTTATCTTCTGCAATTTCCAATGGGCACTTAGTGAAAAATTAGTCTAAATCCCTCCCACGCAATATTCAAGAGTACGAGATTAGTAAGTTGTACCCGAACCAATCAATACCATATTAACCAACAAACCACCGCCAAATTTCAGAGCTCAATAATCAAAACAGGGGTACTATATATTGTGTTGGTTACAATAAAAATGCGAGTAGAACAGAAGAATCTATGAAATACTATGAGTATAGCAATTAAAGAGTAATTTAGATGGAACAGTTCATACCTTCTCCAGGAAATCAGTGAGCGAATTTAGATGTTTTTGAGATGCTTTCTGCCCGATTGTATTCCTCTGGAGCTGCAATTAGAGGCTGCCACGTCACATTTAAAAATCAGGATGCAAATACTGACACTACGGATTCCTTGACAGCAGCATTACAAACCAGATTTGAGGTGCAACCTACAACATGAGGTACACTGTCACACAATCACATAACTTCAATTCATGAGCATCAGAGAAACATCGTAAACAAATCCTGTACCTCGTCTCTTAGCCGAACAGAGGGAAGGACAACATCAACGATGGTTGGCGTGATATTTGCGAATAGCTTGTCAAGCAATGACTCTTTCCGAATATTGCTGGTCGTGGAACACTAGTATAATAGTAATTACAAAATATTCACTACAAGTCAGCGAGCAACAACGTCTTCAAATTGCATTCAGGAAACTTTAAATTGAATTAGAATTACAAGGTCCATCAAATCAGATGCATGATATGTGTATGTCGCCATATTTATCTTGACAGAACAAGAACCTTTTGTCAAATGTTGTTAACGAGGCCACATGCACTTCACAAACTTTGACACCAGAAATCGAACGATCAAGTATGGTAGCGGCATCTATAATTCCGACACCAACCTTAATATGCGGACGGGAAGGATGGTGACTGTCAGCTGATCGGCCCATTCGATCCTGAGCTGGAGGAACTGGTCGATTACCGCTTCCTAATAGACCATCACGCTCAACCCAGGGGCGTTGTCCTGCGCCACCTGTACTGACGGACCCTGACGGATAAAAAAACATCAGGATCTAGAACATATGCTACACTTAAGTCACTAAAAGCATGCGTAAAAAAAAGGTGTTTGGCACCTCACAATGAAACCTAACTGGGTTATCAAAAACCTGACATTGCACTGCTATCTGTCAGACATGAAAGACAAAAGCAGGAGAAATATACATTGAGAACCATGGAAATTAAAATACGGATACACAAGCGTCACAAAATCGGTAAAAAAAACCAGTCATAGTTACCTCGTTTGTCAGTATCCCGATTTTGTGGTAGGCGCCCTCGTTCACGATCCCTGTCTCCATTGTGATCCCATCAACCCAGAGGACCAGGCCGATCATATAGTGGCATCTGAGTACCATTATGCTCAACTCAAGGACCAGAAAGTCGAGGTGGGTAACTGATGGAAAAGGCATTGCTCAGTGGTTCTTCTTCATCGGATTTGCGACGAGGACAAGACTGTAATGTAGCACCGCCGAAAATGGGTCTACTCCACTCCGGGAGGTCATCAAGAGGTGACTTACTGTAAGCCAAGTCACTACCCAATCAAACCACGCAATAATCAGAATCTAATATACTCACATTATGTGGTTATCAGATAGCTCTCATAGCGGCACTGCAAGAACATTCCAGAGCGACCTTGCATAAACGTCGAAATTAAATCTTAGTTCATTTATACATTCCTACAAGATCGTGTCATTGACGGCATTCAACTTCACAGTAATTTCTTCTTTAAAAAGCTATCTCCACTGTTCTTAATGCGTAACGTAAGCGTCATTGCGAACTTTGTAAACAGTTGATGATGATGATGATGATGAAGCCTCCTCGAAGAAAAGTCGATCACAAACCCCTAAAGACCTCGCTTCGTAACACATTCACTACACGTTGGTGGCGACCTAACATTATTCAAATCATGCAGCAAATTTTACTCATCGCATCCAATAATAATCCTGCACGGCATTCCCTACACGCAAAAACCGAGAACTATGTAATGTTTCGTTCAAACCAGTGTGCAAATACGAAGTAAAAGCACACGATCGTTGGCTGGATCCTTGGAATATCTCGTCAAGAAGCCCACATAACCCTTCTAACGCAGGCTGCACGCTATACGCAACTTAAGATAGAAATCGTCACCTATCTCTACGTGCGAAACCTCGGCCAGACGGTACCACAGGAATTGCAATGTTGCCCTCCACCACATCGGAATTGGATGAATCACTGTGAACATCGGCACTCATGGTAAGACAAATGAAGACGCGAAAATGTCAAAGAATGATGGGCTAAGGATCAAAACCATCAAGCACAAGGGCCACGGCAGGTTTTGAACGCTGAGGTGATCCAAACCTACTCGATACCTAGATTTGCAACCCATCAATAACAAGATACTTGATGATTCAAGCACACTCAGGGGATCGCAAGAAGTCAATAGATCTCCTAATGAGTCCGTGCTATCCCAGCATCAGCTTCGCAGAATACAGGAAAACACAAAAGAATTCCACAACCTTGCCAGACATGCCTAAACTCAATGTCCCAGTTTCCTATTTGACGTCATGCAGCTCACTCACGATGAGCTTGAACAAAACGGAACAAGGGCAAGGCAATATACCTCCATAGAACAGGGTCTATTCCATCCGGACGTGACTGGCAGCAAGGCAACTTGGCAAAAGCCAACAGAGTGTTCTTCGTATATCTGTACATCATCTTGGTAGTCATTTTTTATACGTGCGCACGGTTGATTGAAACCACATACGCAACCCAGCACAGCACTATGTGCCTAATATATCTACAATAGCTGAAACTGTTTGATTCAGGGCAATACAATCAAGTACTACAAGCCATGGTCAGGGCATCCTCCTAGAACATCGTCTCTGATCATACAGAAGTCCAGCCTCAACTCCTTAAGAAAAAGCTACAACTGAAAACTTCCCCATAATTCTCTCACAATTTAAGCGAATATCTACAGCATGATCTCGCATCTTCAGCTATGTACATCACTGATGTTTATGAAACCTAAATCCATATGTTATAGGGCCGATCGCTGATGGCGATTCTGCATCTTGTTTCAGGGATGGGATTAAATCAAATGCTTGGAATGGTACCAAAAGGGTGAAGCTCGAAGGTGATGAGCTGAAGGCAAGTCAGCTTTAACAAGTGGGATGCACGACTAGGAACGCGAACCAGAGAAATTACAGAATCTGTAAAACCTAAACCAGTACGGTGATATTGATTCTCAACATTTTTATTCAATTTGACAAATGCGTACTAGCGTCTTGGTAACAACGCATAAGCACCAACGAAAAGGGAATTATATAAACTCCAAATAAGATCTGAGCTTCAGGTATCTTCAAAGTCAATTTACAACGGCAAATTTGCGCGAAGGCCAAAAAACCTAGGACGCTCCTAACCACACATCTTTGACTCCCTTATAGGCTAATGGAAATAATCCATAAAAAAATTCAGAAATGAAGGAACTAGTTCAGGCTACCAAATAAGAATTCTAGCGAAGTACAACAACAACAACAACACATCCGCAATCACTGTAATTACGCTAACATGACACTGCTTAAAGTCTACTCCTATCCCTATCTTCTCATCCTCAATGACTACACAGAATGAAAGCGATACGAATGGGATGCGCAATCACAGCCAACACAGGAAGAATCATGCAACAAGACCCAACACTCACAATCACACCAAACGAAAAAACACATGGCGGATGAAAATCAACTCGAACCCTCTTTTAGCCCCAAAACGCCACAGCACTGCGATGTATCCCAGCTGTCTTCCAACTCAACACATCATCATCCCCTTCAACCATTGTTACTCCACCGGCTCTTCACCATCATCGTTGCACCCCCGTCGCTCGCTTCGTCGTCTCACAACACCCGAACTCTTCCAGTTTCCTCCTCTGCACTCCAGCATCGGACTAAGTCACACAAAGTCATCAGGAAATCCCCTCCGCTACGTCGTCTACCTGGGTCACCGTTGCATCATCGAAACACAAGCTATCATCATCCTATATTACAACAGCATGAAGCGAGAGAGACTTTGCGCGTGACTCATGGACTGTGAGTTTGTCATGGGTATATATACTCAATGCTTTAAAATCCGTGAGCGCTTCGAAGAGAGTCGAATACAAAAGAGTGGGTTCCGCGCATCCGAGTGTGGGGAAATGGAATCGACGATGATGTTGGTGTGCGATCGATCAAGCAAACGAGAACCGAGAATTGACTGCAGGCCTCTACTTCATTACACATGGGAATTGTGGAAGGAGAAGATTCTTCCTTTGTAACAAAAAATTGTCTTTACAAAAATAAAGTAAAAATATAAAAATAAAAAGTGATAAAAAGACAAGAAGGTCTAACAATGGAATTTAATTAAGCTAATTTATAATGGTGTCATTTTTCACCAAAAAAATAGTCATGTTGGACCAAGTATATGTAATATCCAACTCTAGTAACATTAGATGAGAGTCATGTTAATATGTCCATAACTATCTTTGTGTGTGCTAAATAAGATAAAATTATTTAATTGCACCAAGGTTGAGATGAAAAAATATATAATTGGTTATTAAATAAAGATGTTCTCATTGTAATATCCATATGAACATGACATGTGTTCTCATAAAATGACATGGTTTCTTCCAAGTAAACAAAACTATCTTACTACAAAAATAAGTAATGATAAATACATATATATATATATATATATATATATATATGTCATTATATTTTGTAGTTTTTCTAGCTAATGGAACTTATCATGTCCATAAAGTTTGGCACCACAGTGAACATTGAGAAAAATAAATGTGTGTATTTGAATTTTAGTCAAGTGGGTGGTAAGAAAAAGGTTGTTGGGTTGGTCTTAATGGAGATACCCATGTAACTTAAGTTTGTTGGCATTTTAAATAATCAGATCCAATTATTTTTTTAAATCAGGACATTAAAACTCATACACACTCACATCCTTGCATTCATTGTCATGAAAAGGCATACACCATCTTGATAGGATTTTATGTTGTTATTTTTAGATATCATAGAATGTTTTATCTTCAGGATATTACATTATAACAAATAGGATCAAAACGCAACATTTTTAGTCATTTTGCAAGACTGGGTCCAGACAATGTGGTTCTGTATGGATTTCGTACTCAGTTTTGTCTAATTTTTTGATAAGCCATGTACAGTGCCAAGGCATGCCTTTTTCTTTTTCTTTTTCATTTTTAAAATTTATTATGTATTATGTTAATAACCTTATTTAAAGTTGTAACATTTGAAAGTCACAAGAAGTAACATGTTATAAAGTATTTGGAGTTGCAAGTGATTGTTTGCAGTCTTATGTCTTGTCTAACAAAACAATAATACTTATACAGTTCATCAAATAATTGCACTAATTGTTTACAATGCAAAGAGAGTAATCATTTGAGTACATGTGAAAGATAATATATTTTTTTTATGTTCGATAACTAAAGAATACATATGCTAAAATTCATTTGGTGATAAAATTTGTTGGCAAGTGATGTAATTGCAATCATATAAAACTCCATTGTAGCATATTGAATATCACTTACAATCCACAACTAAATGCTTGCAAAATGAAATGTCAAATAAAAAATGGCCTTCCAAATTTTGTGGATTAAAATTTCACATTATTAGACATTTTTTAACAAGAATGATATATTGGTGGATGACTTTCTTCTTAAATTTTCAATACAAGTAGTTTTCAATAAGCCAAAGAAGTAAACTCTTGCATGCAATTTATTTATATGATTTTTTTTTGTTTTTTTTTGATGATGTAAAAAATAAATTTCATGGCACAAACTATTACTAAGAAAATGTATAAAAAATGACTAGATAAAAACAAGTTAACATTTCAAAGTGAGTTTTTAATAGTTGTAGGCAATATATTATTAAAAAAAGAAAACATAAATTGACTATAATAATATGCATATCAATAAGACAAAGAAATTGATGGGTTTTCTAATTTTAGAATTATCATTCAACAAGAAAACTTTAACATTGATAATTTTTACAGAATCACAAAAATCGACATTGATACTAATGAGAAAAATAAAATACTTAAGATATAAACACAATTCAAGTCCACACCTCCTCTTCACTTGTATTTCTTTGCAATATGTACATCAACCACACATCTTCACCACCAACATGATCTTAAATACCACTAATCTTAGTTGTTTACATATCCAAGCTAATACCATAGCCTACCTAACAACCCTCACATATTATTTTTTTCCCAAGTGCTCATCAAATTAAGAACTAATAAAATGCACCCACATGTACAATGAGCCTAGCCTACTGACACATTAAATCAAATTACACACCCACTAATGAGATTTTTTTACAATATCAAGGAATCCTTCTTAAGGAACCACCCACTGTAGTATAATGCTGAGGGGGTAACCAAAGCAAGGGATATATATATATATATATAAACAAAAATAGTATTCCTGGCATATTTAGTCTCAAAACGATAGTGGACTGAGGGATGGGTGCATACGGGCCAGAAACATACAGGGCCACGGTGGAGATACTCTCATACCGGCAAATTGTCCCGGGGCCGGCACAAGCTCCAGGACAAGACGGGGGAAACGACAAGAGCGGCGATGGTGGCAGCGAGATGGGAACGTTGAGGAGTCGCGTGGGGGCGGGGCGGGGGTTGTCGGAGGACCAGGAAAATGAGGCCAAAATTCGGTCGACAAGGGCAATAGCAAATTGTTGAGTGAGTGAATGAGTGACAACTCAGACTGCGAGCATCGAACAATCCTCTTCCCGGAGTACTGGAGTGGAGTGGAGTGTGTCCCAGGTTTCGTTTGTTGTTGTTGTTGATTCGCTCCGTCATCACCATGCATGTGCGACAGCGCTGGTGGTGATCGGGAGCTGCAGCAGCCAAAGGGGGTGATGGCCGCACTAGAGTTGGCCAATGCGGCCTTGAAGGAAATCGAGAGGCTTCGCAAAGAACAGGAGCAAGTCATACGCAAAATTAACAATTATCATTCCAAGCTCCAGCAGTGTGAGTGTGAGCGGCGCACACTGTGCGAGAGAGAGAGAGAGAGAGAGAGAGAGAGAGATATCAGTCTCTTGATCTGCTTCGTTATGTCTTCTTCTCTCTCTTTTTTATTCGTTTTTTGCTGTGTGTGTGTGTATGTGTGTGTTATTTATTTATTTGTTTTGTTTAGTTTTGTTTTGTTTTGTTTTGTTTTGAGTTTTGTCAATTGTGTTTTGACGGTATTGTCTTGTTCAGATGGATTGTTTTCATGTTCGTGTGTGTGGAGGAGGGTTTTGGAGTCGAAACCCTTGCGGTGGATTTTGGTTAGTGTGTTTGTTGAAGTGGGTTGTGGAGTAAGAACCCTTGCGGTGAATTTTAGCTAATCGTTGGTGCTTCTTGGTTGTTGTGGATTGTGAGGATGTTGATGTTGGATTATGGGTGAGTTTATCTGTGTGTCTGTGCAATTTTTTTTTTTTTTTTTTTTTTTTCCGGGGTTTTGAGTTTGTACGAGAATGACTTGAAGTGTGAGTAAATTGGTGGGCATTTGAAAATTATCAGCTCCTGAACAAGCGGACAATATGAAGGAGGATTCCTGGTTTAAGCTACGACAATACTACATGAAGGCGAAGAGCTTGGCTGAGGAAGAAGCAACGTGGGTTCAATTTAATTTCTACTCATGCCTTGGATTTGCTGTTCGTAATGGTTTTTCTCTCTGCCTTTCAATTTGAAATCAACGTTTACCTTTAAATGAGCTGCTTCAGCCTTTCGATGCCGGTTTAACAATGAGATATCAAACTGGCAGTGTTTCCTCTAATTGCGTGGAGCATCTTGCCGGTCTATTACCTGGTCAAGCGGCATCCAACCGCAAGAAACCAGGTACAGCTGTTGTAGATTGTATTTTCGGTGTAGCTTTAGACGTTGATCGGATCTGGTCTTTAAACTCGGTTCAATTTAATCATTCAATGTCGTCTAGGACAGGAATAATACCCCGCATATCTTTGATAAGTGTTACGGGTCCATTGTTATTAATCTTTTAAAGGGATCATTTGTATTGATCTATGGCCGCTTCATATCACCAACAGATTCTAATGAGAAGAAACGAAAGCGGGTTAGAGCAGATGATTCTACACGACTGTCGTCTCCCACTCAACGAAGTACGAGTGCTGCATATGCTAATTTAGTACCTGGAGACCAGGTTTGGCTTCTTTTAGGTGGTTACGCAGTGCTTCAATGTAACATTAACTAATTCAGGATGTTCCGTATGAGAATTATGTTTATTTTTTGTTATTTTATTTTTCCTGTATTGTTGAAACTAAGGTTGTGATCTAAGTGGAATGCAATATTGATTTTGATGAGGTGTTCAGTAATCGAGCCAGGACATTGTGATTGTTAATATCAAACAGAATTTTATGGTTGAGGATGTTCGATGTAAGATAGGGTCGAGGAGCTCCAAATTGTAACATTTGGTTTTAAGTGTGACAGGTAGCAGCTCGTATCTCAAGCGATGGTGCAGAAAATGATGAGTGGATCGTGGTGAAATTGACGAAGCATGACCGGGAAGCAAACAGGTAAGTTGGACTCACTTATCTGTGTAAAAGTGATTGTGACTAATAAGTTGATGCATCGATGGCCTTGACGTGAGTGTAAGCCAATTTGAAAGCTCAATATCTGAATGTGTACAATTTTTTTGTATGCGTGATATCATGCAACAACATAATTAGCTAGTTGTAGATGGCTTTGTTCTTGCAGTGCTTTGGAAAGTCAAGTGACATAGCTATGTATGCAAGAGAATAACAAAATTTCTATTAATCTAATTGAATGTGTTCAGGTTTGAAGTGATTGACGAAGAGCCTGACGATGAAGGAAATGGCCAAAGGTGCCTGAACTTAACTAGTTTGTCGTTTGCGTTCACTTCGTCAAGCCATTTCGATGCACTTGAGATGTGTGTAGTATCCTGGGATGAACTTTATAGTTTGTGTGGTGTGGAATAGCGGAGATTATTTTTCAGAAGTGCTGGTCGCTCTTTCAGAAATATTGGATTTCCATGTATGTCGCGAAGCATGCATTCACTTCTTTGATATATCATGTCCAAGTATTCTATATTGACTCCAGGTGTCTGTGTAGCATACTCAGGAAGTACAAGCTGCCTCCTTCACAGATTATCCCTTTTACGAAGAGGTCAGATGTGTCCAACGCACCAGATTTTCCTGTAGGAAGCCAAGTGCTGGCTGTTTACCCTGGTACAACTGCACTATACAAAGCATCGGTTGTTGGTCCTCAACGCAAGGTAAGGACTCCTTGATCGCTTTGAGACATTGTCTTTCTGTTACTGACATTGTTCAAATGCAATTTACATAGTAGGTCCCAAGCATCGTTAATCGCTTTTAAGCCTTCGCTTGATTAACTTGCAAAATAATTGTTCTTGTGTGATAAAATCAGTGATCCTTAACTTAGTATAATCAACACTTGAATGGCTGTAGTAGGGAATGGAGGATTCACCATGTGTTATAAATAAATCAATTGTGTCGTGTTTCTAGTCGCTTATTGAATAGTGTATCTCAGGTTTTTAGCAACTTATACTTTGTTCGAAATTTGAGTCTGACTCTGTGTGGATGGTGGCTACGTTGCATTGCACCTCAAATGACAGAAACGAAGTGACGAGTGAGTCTCCTCACATTCATCAATATTATATTTTACCACCTTTCTATTTCTAAACTATTCTTAGTTTAGCGGTCGATGCATTTCGTTTTTGACCTCGTTATTATTATTATTATTATTATTATTACTACTATTACTACCATCTAGAAGACTTTTATTTTTTCACAAAAATAAAATTCCTTAAATTTTAAATATTGATCGGCATGTGCTTGACATTCCACAAGCATTACTCTTAGTTCTGTCACATGCAAAATACAGTACTTCCAATTGGTTGTCAAAGAGCGACACTTTGACACGTCTCGTAGATGAGAAAACTCCTCCCATGGTGATTCACCTAACATCACATTTACGACGTGGGTGCAGGTATTCTCTGGAGTTTGATGGCGATGAAGAAGAAGGAGTAGCTGGCCTCCCAACAAAGATCGTCCCCTTCTACCACGTTGTGCAATTACCAAGTGGGCACCGGCAATGACAACAGCAACTACTTGAAGAAACATTCCCAGACCTGATTTTTTGTTCTTTTTTCTCTTCTTTTTTTTGTGGTACTTCACTTCCATGTGCATGTTGTAAAACCAACCATTGTACGATGTTACGTAGAACCATATTAGATAGAACTGGGGTCCCTCGCTTGCTCTCATCCTCCACCACCTAAACGTACAGATGTAGAACACTGAAGACCCCACACTAGCTTCGGAGCTTCCTATTATAACCATGGTCAGTATCAAAGTAGCACAGGCTTACAAGGACTTTCCGGCCATCCATCTGATTATGATGGACACTTGTACATAACCCCACTTACGTGAAAATTGAAAGCCATGCGTGTCCTACTGTTTTTGCGAAGGGCTTCGCTTCTGGGTTTGTATTGTTCGTTTTGTTTTGTGTCTCAGTGCGCTCTACCGGCGATAGCAGGTAATCCATCCCCTGCAATGCCTCCCTGGATGGATGTATGTCCATGCGCGTCGTTCATCCACGGGCCGTTCGGGCAGCGGGTCCCTGCCAGCCAACCACCCGCCAGCTGCCCCAACCTGCCCAACCGCTGCTTAATGAGTGGGACCAAGAAGAGAGTTTCAAAACAATTAATGCAGGGTTATTTTCTATCTATGGTGTGTTTTAAAGTGTAATTTTTAGAAAATTGTATATTTCATATATGCATAATACAATATATATTTTATTTATAGGCCTGAATATTTATAAAGATACATACATATATATATATATATATATATAAAATCAAATATTTGCATGTCACATGCAGAAATAGTCAAATAGTATGAAATATATTTTAATGTACAAAAAACAAAGATATTGAACTTCAAAAGTATCTAAATTATAATGTGTATCATTTTGTAATTCAAGATAATTTGATTTAATTCTATGCACAAAAAAAAAAAAAAAAAAAAACGATGAAGATCACCTTTTCAAGGCCTAAAACAGAAAATATGAAGATATTAACACATGAACAATTAATACCACAATCAAGACCTCAAACCAACAAAATATAAGCATGTGAACACAAACCTAAACTCAAATCAAAACTAGCAAGATATAATCCCAAACTGAAGTGGCAAAAGCTCAAGCAAAACAACAGCAATACGGATCTCCACAAAAATAGCAACAAAATCCAAACCAACACAACAGCATTCCCCACAACTATTAAAAGAAAGTAATACATTGTGCGGGCCCGAGACTCGGCACTGTGTAATGCAGGCAGGGGATACAGGGCCCGGTAAAAGATTCCTCAGAATATTCACAGGAGGCACTGTCTGTCTTGCCTGTCTGTGTTCCGAACTGTGGAGAGCGCCGAACTGCACTCTGGCAGAGCAGGATCCGTCGTGATTAGCATGTTTGCATTGCTCTCATCAGGGCTGCAGTTGATTGACTGACTGACTGACATCTTCGGAAGGAATCTTGGATCATGTTAGATTGTCAATCGGAGCTTACACTACAAAAACACTGTGCTTCAGGTGTTTCGAATTCTTCGTAAATTCTGAGACTTCTGACGATGATGATGAAGAAGAAGAAGTGGTCAGGAATTTGGTTTAAGCCTGGATCGTGTCTGAACCCTGACTTTTGATTTTGTTTTGCTCTGTTCTGTGGGTGTGTTCGGTATTTTGTGGCCAGGGGATGTGGTGGTTTTGAGATGAAGTCTGCGTTACAGGGGAGGTTGAAGTGCGTTTGGGATTTTTGGTGAGGGGTTTTGGGGTTTCTGGTGGTGGGAGAACCAGGGTTGAGAGGTGCAGGATTGTTTGACGGATTGCGTAGGTGGGGTGATTTTATGGAACTGAGGTGCTTGTTCAGTGTGAGATGGTGAAATCGGACCCAGATACCATCATGGAAGCTACGGCGGCAGCTCATTTCTCTGGGCTGCACTTTGATGATCAGTATCCGGTGCCAAATTACAAGGGCTCTAACAAGGTCCCCTTCGTAATAGGTTCGTGGCGAGGACTCGTCTTGCTTATTTGTTTATTGGTTTGGTGAGAAATTTCCTTGCGTGTGTACTCCGGTTGGCTTTTTGCAGATGGTCTAAGGCATAGATTTGTGTGTGTAGGAGTGGCAGGAGGTACTGCGTCGGGGAAGACGACTGTGTGTGATATGATCATTCAACAGCTGCATGATCACCTTGCTGTGCTTGTCAATCAAGACTCTCTCTCGCTCTCGCTCTTTTCCACCTTCGCTGACTCTCAGATTCCGGCTGTGAGTTTTTATAATGAAATTGTAGATCAATATGAGTCTGCATGGTTTCAGTTGGCAGATTCTTGTATGGTTCATCTTGAGAGTGTAGCTCTTTGACCCACATTGCCCCTTACAGGATTCCTTCTACCGTGGGTTGACACCTGAAGAGATGGCTAATGTGGGAGAGTATAACTTTGATCACCCTGGTGAGTTCTTCCTTCGATTCAATTGCGTAAGTCTTTGTCAACTTTGAGGTTGTTTATAACTAATGGCAATCATCTGGAGACAATAAAATTGAATTCAATCTGAAAGATTGTGCAATCATTTTCAGATGCTTTAGATACGGAGCAACTATTGGAGTGCCTTGGGAATTTGAAAGCCAATCAACCTGTTCAGATACCCGTGTACGATTTTAAGAACCATCAACGCTGCAGTGATAGGTTTCGGAAGGTAGTTGCTTCATCCATCAGTGGGATATTTCATGTCTTTGTGCTTACTCTTCAGAATCATGCAAAATGTTCAGTGTTCGGTTGGCATTTTTATGGAATAAGTTGATGTCTGTGTAGGTGAATGCATCTGACGTGGTCATCTTGGAGGGCATTTTGGTCTTCCATGATGCTCGTGTTCGGGAGCTTATGAACATGAAAATCTTTGTTGATACAGGTTAGCCCTCTCTATGCATTTCGCTTGCCGCCCTTTGGCTTTTGTTATCAATTAGCACCCAACTCGTGAATGTAGATATATTCATTCTGGATATGTTCAAAGGTCAGACCTCCTTCATAGGGACTCATATTTTTCTTTGCAATACAGATGCGGATGTCAGGTTAGCACGACGGATAACGAGGGACACTCTGGAGAGAGGCAGAGACGTTAACGGTGTGATTGATCAGGTGAGTTCTTAGAGGTAGTTTGATTGGTTTTGGAATAGAAGCGCTTCTAAAAATAAAATGGGCAAAAGTGATGTGGGATTGTTTCTGCAATATCTTTTGCGGTTGCTTTATTTTAATGTAAGCTTCGTTTTTGAGAAATTTCGATTATTTAATTATTTAGTTATTTCTGTTTGTCGTATGCAGTGATGTGCAATTCTGTTTTAAGTGAAGTGCAGGGTCTTCGAGTAGGTTCTAGATAATCACGATATTTCCGTAGATTTCCTTTGATTTAATCTCGTGTGGTCGGAGTAATAGCATTTTGCCATCTGAATCCTATCCGTGGCAGCGTAATGAGTACTTTTGGATCATGTAGCGTTGTCGCATATTGAAGAGAAACGAATTGTATTTTGGATTTGTGCAGTATGCAAAGTTTGTGAAGCCAGCATTTGATGATTTTATTTTGCCAACAAAGAAGTATGCGGATGTCATCTTACCCCGTGGTGGAGACAATCATGTGGCAATTGATCTTATGGTCCAGCACATTCGTATGAAACTTGGTCAACATGATCTCCGCACGATATATCCGAATGTTTTTGTCATACAATCTACATTTCAGGTATAGTCTAGTCTTTGTATTAACAATTTCATCTGAATCTCTTTAGGCATACAAAATTCTGCAGTTATTGTTTGTCATTGTTGTAAGTCATGTTCATGTGTCCGCAATACTTCGTTGATCAACGAAGTTGGCGTGGACGCGGATTCCTCAATCATTTAAATTGCTTGAGGTGAATTGTGTGAATGAACGAGAACATTTACCTCAGAAAGATGTAGGCCGCTCAATAATTATGTCCATCATTGGGATGGTAGCATTAATGCATGTTATGGTCTCTCTCTTCTTTTCCCTTTTCAACACCTCTCTCTTCCGCTACCAAGTGGCCTTCAAGTTCTTTTAGTAAATAAGTTTAGAATAATTAGGTTGGGCCGCTATGTCGTGTCATGATTGAAGTTAAGTGTACATGATTTCAGTACTCTTTTAATGCTAAATATCACAAGTGGCACAGCTCTTCATTGAGTGTATAGTTAGAATCCACCCTTGAATATTAATAATACTTTTACATTGACACATGCGACATACCCGCTGATGATTGCAGATTCGTGGAATGCATACTCTTATTCGCGATCAAGAAACTAACAAGCATGACTTCGTCTTTTATGCCGACCGTCTTATCCGCTTGGTGAGCTAGCGTCATCCTAGGCAGTACGGGTAAAAGTGTTAACGGTCTGAGACACTTGTTATTGTTGAGTTGTAGTATTGAAACCAGTTGTGAGGGAATGACTTTGTGGAAGTGGAATAGCAGAGGAATAACGTAGCAGGTGTCATTGTGCAGATTGTGGAAAATGGACTAGGACATATGCCCTTCACTGAGAAGCAGGTTATCACACCGACAGGTATGATTAAGAATGATTTAGGCTTTTTCATCGCTAGCTTGTGATCTATACAGGAATCCTGCTGTTGGTATGTACATATCTATCTTAGTCCTGGTCTCTTAGGAAGTTACTTTTTCCCTTTTCCACATCGAAAGGAATTTTCATGCAGGTTCAATATATGTTGGAGTGGACTTCTGTAAGCAGCTTTGTGGAGTTTCCATCATCCGCAGGTAATTTTTCATTTTTATTTTTATTTTTTATTTTTTTATAGTTTATTTGGAGAGCCATGAAATCATTAGTCTTTTGGTGTGTTGGTATTCACGTAGCAGATTTTAGCGCAAAATATAGTACCATTATGTGAGGTTTGCATTTTACCTCCATGTGTGTCTGGAGGTTTTCTGAAAGCTTTCAGTTAAAAAAGATGGGTAAACTTATTCGTTAAGCAAATGTTTCCCAGTGGAGAGAGCATGGAGAATGCTTTGCGTGCGTGTTGCAAAGGCATTAAGGTTGGAAAAATTTTGATTCATAGGGAGGGAGATGATGGAAAGCAGGTACTACTTGTGAGATGCCCTTGGTTAAATGTCACGCTTATTTCTCTTTATCTTCTAGTTGTTTTCAATGAATCTCTGTCCCGAGGTGTTGAGTTAATTCAAGGCTGCACAATGTCAAAGAGGTTGATAGTGTTTGTGCTCATCTATAAAATGTGGTTGATTATAATGCAGCTGATATATGAGAAGTTGCCTATTAACATCGCAGACGGACACGTTTTGCTGATGGATCCCATCCTTGGGACAGGTATCCATCAGTCTTTTGTTCACTTTGCTGATCTACATTTGCGATAAATGTAGCTTCGGGAACCCGAATTACGTTAGCTGTCTGTTTATGTATCTACTCCATTTCTCTGTGGTTGGACATATTTTCCACTTACTTTTGAATTATATTAAGTTATCGAATCATCTTGCCAGACGTACCTTGAATGTAATTATTTGCGAATGTTACTACTGCGCATGACAAAGTTCCTGCTCTTGTACATGGACGACAACCCTATTCAACCCTGGAGGTTAAGAAGAGGTCGATTCCCGTGGAGTGACAGAGATATGTGTCCTTGAATTATTGCAGGAAATTCTGCTGTCCAGGCTATTGAATTGTTAATTCGAAAAGGAGTCCCAGAGTCTCACATCATATTCTTAAATCTTATCTCGGTAAGTGTTATCATTGTCAAAGCCGATTCAACAACGTCAGTTTCAACTTCAATGGTGCTTCACTTTGCATTGCTGATTCGTGACGATAGTGCTGGTGAACGTACATCCAGGCGCCTGAGGGTATTCACAAAGTCTGCAAGCGCTTCCCACTTTTGAAGATTGTGACATCCGAGATCGACGCAGGACTGAACGAGGAGTACCGTGTTGTTCCCGGGATGGGTGAGTTCGGAGACCGTTACTTTGGAACAGATGATGATGGGCCTGAACAGGTGTTCAAGGCTCCCATAGAACCCAAACTTCAGCAAGGCCTTTACACGCCTTTTAAGAGACTTAGTCATGTTGGTGATGCCCAAGATGGTCCTTTTCCCTCTTCTATTGCTTAGGATGAGTCTCACAGACAAGGTCAGTCACTCACTCACATGTTTCACTGGGTGGGTTTCAGTTTCCTGTTGTTTCTCTGGGCCTTTGATTCACCTGCCTTTCCTCTGACCAGTTTGTAGAGAACTGCCCACCTTCAAATTCTGATCACCTCCAGGAACTCTATTTCTGTTTGAGAAGCTCACACGAAGGTCTAAAGCTAATTTAAGCATCATCTTCAATTCCATTGCATGCTTGAAAGCAAACCCATTTCACTACGGAGTATATTCAAGTTAGCAAGGTTCTGTTTGTTCTTTAAAATTAATATTTTTTTCAAGAAGAGAATTCAATACACCATAATGCAAAACATATATATATATATATATAACACATTTTTTTTATGATGATAATTTAAGCATAATAATTACATAATAATCATATTTGAAGAAAACTCATAAATTCTTTGTATTTTTTTGTTGTTGAATTTAAAAAATTAAATGCTGTTAATAAGTTTTTAATTTTTAATTTGAATTTATCATTATTATTACTATAATATAGTTTATTATATTAAAATACTAAAGAGTGATGAAAATAAAAGATTAAAGTCTTTTTTTGATTGGTTAATGAAATGCTATAAAAAAAATTGATTGTTATTTTAAGATTATAGAATGGTTTGTAATACTTAAGATAATAAAAAAAAATTAATATAGAAAAAATTATTTGTAAAGGTCAAATTTTAAATTTTTAGTAGATATATTTGTAATCTAAGTATATAAGTTGTATTATCTTTTACACATTTTTTAAAAAAATATGACCATCTCTTTTTTCTTCATAATTTATTAAAATATAATGATGTAATTGACATCTTTAAATATTCTAATTACATAATTTACTATGAACAATATTAAAGACAAATACAAATGGTACTATTTCTATATAACTATTATTTGTTTTCTAATCCTTGTTATAATATAATATATAATATAATATTAATTGTGGTATTTTATAAATCTTGATTGATAAGTAAAAAAATCCTAATCTAAGGCAATCATTAATTTATAATATATTCTATTTTTACTTTATTAATCTAATATTTGAATATCTACTAAATACAAGCTTATATTTGTCTAAATTTTTTAAATATTTTTAGATTGGATAAAAAAGTCTACAATTTTTCAAATAATAAATTGTTGTCTTTTTTTTTATAATTTCCATGTTTTAGTATTTTAACTTTATATTTATTTGTCAAGGACACAAATTCGAAGAAGATGCATAAAGTCATAGTATCTGTGTCAAAAGGAAAGTGACAAAATAGAAGAAAGTATGTATATTCAAGGAAGAACTAGAATAGCTATTGCCAAATACTAGAAAACATAAGACTCTTGAAATTAGACTAAAAAGAAAAAAATGAATTGATAAGAGTGAAGAAGGCCTTGCTCTTGCTTCTATATATACTATTTAACTAAGAAATACGTGGCAACATGCTATAGGACCTCTAATATACGTCCAACTTACAAGACATATGTCTAATTTGCAAGGCAAGTTTCCTAGGTGTGTGCCATATGTCCAACTTGTACTACAAGTGAAAATATGTCGACACGTGGCCTCCTTGTTGGCCAAGTTTTCAATCTACCAATCACCTATAGACATGTATAAAGGCAAAACAGCATCTATAAAGCTTCTAGGAAGCTTTCCATAAGATATTATCATATTTATCTACTTTGACTTAATTCTACCTATTTTTATTATCTAGATAATTATCAGGATAAATATGTATGTCTGTGACATTATCCCCTCTTTTAGGGACGAGTTCCATAAGGAGCAATGATTATATGTAGATGAAGTCTAAGATGCATTGAACTATATTTGCTACATACTTTGATCTTTATTTTCTTCAAAGGTAGTTGATTGGTCCCTTCAACCATTAATAATGTTCCATACTAGGGCAAAAAGACCACCTTGATATTTGATCATTATTGAGGCCTTCACAACTTTCTTCAAACAAAACATTAGTAATACCATCAAGAGTGGTTTATATCTCCAAAAGTATCACTAAACACTGAGAGTTCCTTCCAAGGTCGTGGTACCAAACGCATTGTATCTCGCCATCTATTCCAGGAAGAACATGACATTCTTGAGGGTCTTCATCTCGATTTTGCCATCTTGAAGGTTGTGATAGTCACAATGTCTTATCTGATAGCTCAGCAAATGATAGCTCTTGAATTGAATCTGCTAGTTGTTGATTCTCCATCTCCTAAGCACTAAAAAATCCAAAGAAATAATCATATTAGATAGAATGAAATCTTCATTGAACTTGCTTTGTTTAATAGCAAAGAATTTCTTAACTCTTCATCTTGCTTTTGATGGATGTCATTGATGAAAAGTTTTAATTTTGGTTGATGTATTTATTAGATTTTTAGATGACTCCCATGTGCGTTCATTAATGTCATATCCATGCCAATATACTAGATATTCTAATCTATTTTGATGCCACCTTGAATCTAAGGCTTCTTCTACTTCAAATTCTTCATTATTGTCCACTTCTATAAGAGGTGGTGGCATTTTGTGTTATTCTTTGTATATCCATTGTCTTGTATGACTTAAGTAAAGATACATGGAATACAAGATGGATTTTCATAGACTCCAATAGGTATGATTGATAAGCAACTGGATTAATATTTTTACAAATGGAAAATGGTCCAAGCCTATGATAATCCAGCTTATCACAAGGATATATATTTTTAATATTATGACAAGTAACCATACCTTATCCCCTACATGGAATTGATGTTGTTCCTTGTGATAGACAACTGTGTTGGCTTTTTGTCGTTCTTGAACTTCTTTTAATTATGCCTTCATTGTTGTATGTAGCTCTGACAAGAAATATTATATCAGACAAAGGAACACAATTTTTATCAAGTTTTTGGAAAACTCTTTTCAAGAAATTAAAGATAGATATAAAACTATCTTCAACTTTTCACCCTCAAATTGATGGACAAACAGAATAAGTAAATTAAGTTTTAGAACAGTATTTGAGGTATACTATCAACTATCAATAAGATGATTGGACAACTTTTTTACTATTAATAGATCTATTTAAAAGATCTACGATAAAATCCATAGAGACAGAAGACTATGGTTGTTCTGGTATAGGTAATGGTTGGAGGAGTCCATAAGGTCAATGACGAGGAGTTTTTAGTCTTGAACAAACATCACATGTCTGTACAAATTCTTTAACAACCTTCCACATTTGAGGCCACCAAAAATTTCAAGAAATAAGCCCTAAAGTCTTATTATATCCAAAATATCCTAATGTAGGGAAATTATGATGAGCTTCAAGAGCACATAATTATGCTACTTCTTTTGGAACATATAAGCATCCTTCAAAATAGAATAGATTCTCCTTAAACTCATATTTGAAAGTATCTTGAGATTAAGAAGAATTATTTTTAATATCATGAATAAGAAGGTCTAAGAACATACTTGCTTGGATCTGCTTGAAAAAAGTCAAATCAACAACCAATGTTGATTTGGTTGCTTAGAGATGAAATTGTTTTGGCTTCAATAAAATTATCTTTTGTTGATTAAAAGCTACTTTTCTTTCTTTTGGTATAAAATAAGAACATTTAGAAAAGGCATCAGAGAAACCTTGTTGTTTTTTTGGCTGATAAATAATATTAAACTCAAATCTTGACAAAGATATACTCTAACGAGCTTGACGATGTTGTGGTAGAGAGGTTTTGCCTCAAGAAAGCGTTGGGCTTTTGGATGCCACTAAATACTCAATCAAGTCTAAGAAATAAAAATATCAAGTTTATATATATAATATTTCTTTTTTTAGGCAATTACATAAAAATATAAGTCCAAGTACCAAGAAAACATCCAAATGTATGATAAAATATCTTAAAACCTTATATATTCTTATGATAAATGTTTTCCGAACTTCAATAGCTCATATCTCATGATCGGACCATCCAAACAACCTAAAAATTTATACAAAGTATTAATATACTTTCAAAAACATCCGCAAAAAAATTCAATTGTAAATTCGTTACAAAACTTGAGATATTGCCAAAACTCTAATAGTAGCTTTAAATCCTAGCTTACATATACATGTATGCTAATTTCTTCATATCTCACAAAATAAGTATTCAAATACCATGAAACTTTGATCTATAGCTTTTTAACTTAATAACTTTCACTTAAAGAAATTTGAGCTAAAAATTCGTCGAGAAACTCAAGATATGGCGCCAACCATTACTATCAACAAAATGACTCACTTATTGCCTTTGAATTATATGTGCTGTCTTCAATGTCCTATAATTCCTTCATCCAAATTTAGAATTTGTCAAAAAATATATGTAAAGTGTAGCTAAAAAAGTGTCCTCTTCAACTTTAATCGCTGATCTTTCATTGCTCTCTGTACGCATATGTTATGCTTCAAAGAGTGAAAGTAGGTACAAATTTAACACCTTAACTTTGAACATCTATATCTCCTTCACAAAAACTTGAAATCACACAAACTCTTCACCCAAATTATACCCAAAACCTTGAACTTCTTGATCTTAGCCTCTAAAGCTCGAATGACTTCAAAAGAGAAATCTTAATCCTTAATAAGGCCTCAAGTAGCCTCCTTGAAGCCCATTGGGCATGGCCTTCGGCCAATAGGAATGAAAATTCCCATTCCTTGCCTTCATCCAACCATGCCTTACTTTCATCCCTCCTAATAAGTCCCGTATTAGTTAAGATTTTCTTCTTTAGGCTCTAATCTCCTCTCAAGGCTTTATACTAAATATTTAGGTCTTACGATTGTTTATAATGTTATAATCAAAAAAGATAAAATTAAAAATAAAGTTTCTTAAATCTTCTCTCTTTAAATTAATCTATTAATCATTCTAATATACATCTAGATTTATTAACATATAATATATTTTAACTAATTTTTACATACTGTAAGCTTTTACAATATGACAACGACAATTCAAAATACATGTTGACATAAAATATTTAAGATTCTTATGATCCGTATAAATGGTGACTAGACTTGAAGTGCCTTCTAAATAATGATACTATTCTTGAAAAGAATCCACAATTGCAAGAAGTTCCTTGTTATGGATGTCATAATTAATCTCGGTTACTAAAAAATTTCTTGGATAAAAAGCTACTGGATGAAGTTTGCGATCTACTCTTATTTAAAATAAGACTATACACAAGGCAAAGTCAGATGCATCTGTTTCCATAAAAAATGCTTTGAAGAAGTCGACGC